AAGTCAGCATCCCTGATGAACAGAGATGCAAAAATCCCCAACAAAATATTAGCTAACTGAAATCAACAATATATTAAAAGGATCATATACCATCAAGTAGACTTTTTCCAGAGATGCAAGGATGGTTCAACACCAATAAAAATCAATAAAGCATTTGACAAAACTCCATGCCCATTCATGATAAAAACTCAAAATATGTATAGGTGAAACATATCTCAATGTAATAAAGGACAAATATGACAAGCTCACAGCTAACATCATATCGGTGCTAAAAAGTGAAAACTTTTTCTCTAAGAGCAGAAAGAAGACAAGACCACTTTTATTCAACATAGTATTGGAAGTCCTAGCCAAAGCAATTAGGCATGATAAAGAAAAGTTATCCAAAGCAGAAAGGAAAGGTAACTGTAACTATTTGACAGGATATATATGTATGTATGTATATATACATACATATATATATATATATGAAATTTTTATATAAAAACCCTAAGACTCTACCAAAAAACTCTCAGAATAAACAAATTCAGTAAAGTTACATGATACAAAATCAATATGTAAAAATCAGATGCATTTCTGTACACTAATACTGAACTACTAGAAAATAAAGGAAAATCCCAGTTTTAAATGCATTTAAAGAATATCTAAGAATAAATTTAACCAAAGAAATAAAAAATCTGCACACAACCTAAAAAAAACTTTAATATATTGATGAAAGAAATTGAAGACAAGTAATGGAAAATTAGTCTGTATTCAGAGATTGGAAGAATATTGTTATAAAGTCCATATCATCCAAAATAATTTACAGATTCACTTCAAAATTTACCAAAATTCCAATGCATTTTTCAGAAATAGAAAAAAAACAATCTTAAAATTTGTATAGAAACACAAAAGATCTTAAATAGTAACAGCAATTTTGAGAAATAACAAAGCTGAAGGGCATCATGCTTCTCAACTTAAAGTTGTATTATAAACTATGGTAATCAAAACAGTATGTTACTGGCATAAAAGGACACATAGATCAGTAGAACAAAATAGCCCAGAAATAAACCCATGCATATAGGGCCAACTAATTTATGACAAAGAAGCCAAGGTATACAATGAGGAAAAGGGCAGTCTTTTTAATAAATGGTACTAGGAAACCTGGATAGCTGTATATAAAAGAAAAAAGAAACTGAGACCCCATCTTTCATCATACACAAAAATCAACTTAAATTGGATTAAAGATTTAGATTTAAGACTGGAAACCATATAACTCCTAAAAGAAAACATAGATGGTAAGTTCCTTGACATCAGTCTTTACAATGATTTTTTTGGATCTGACACCAAAAGCAAAGGCAACGAATTATAAACAAACACATGGGACTACATCAAACTACAAAGCTTCTGCAAAGCAAAGGAAACAAAATGAAAGTGCAACTTGCTGGGACTGAATTTGCAAATCATACATCTGGTTAAGTGGTTAATGTCCAAAATATATAAAGAACTCATACAGCACAATAGCAAAAACCAACAAAAAAACAAAATGGGCAGAGGACTAGAACAGACATTTTCCCAAAGAAGACATACACATGGCAAAAAGGTGCATGAAAAGGTGTTCAACATAGCTAATCATCAGAGAAATACAAATCAAAAGCACAATGAGATATCAACTGTTGGAACGTGGGTTATCAGAAGGACAGTAGGTAAGTGTTGGTGAAAATGTGGAGAAAAGTGAACCCTTGTGCAATGTTGGTGGGAATGTATATTGACATAGTCACTATAGAAAGTAGTGTGAAGGTTCCCCCAAAATTAAAAATAGAACTATTGTATGATTCAGCAATTCCACTTCGGGGTATTTATCCAAAGGAATCAAAAACACTAACTCAAAAAAAAAAACAAACCCATGTACTTCCATGTTCAGAGCACCATTATTTATAATAGCCAAGATATGGAAGCAAGTACGTGTCCATCAATGGGTAACTAGATGAAGAAAATGTAGTTATATATACACAATGGAATATTATTTAGTCATGAAAAGATAGAAATCTTGCCATATGCAACAACATGGATAGATCTTGAGGGCATTTTACGAAGTGAAAGTGATATAAGTCAGAGAAATACAAATACTATATCATCTCAATTGTTTATGGATTTAAAAAAAATAGATACAGAAAACAGATTACCAGGTGGGTGACATAAATGATGGTGATCAAAAGGTACAAATTTCCAGCTATAAAATAAGTCATGGGGATGTAAAGTGCAACACAGTGACTATAGTTAATAATACTGTATTAATTATTTGAAAGTTGCTAAGAGAATAGATCTTAAGTTCTCATTATAGATCTTAAAGTTCTCATTATAAGATAAGCTGCATAGTGATGGATGTTAACTAGACTTACTGTAATGATCATTTCATAATATAAACAAATATCAAATCATTGCTATATGCCTGAAATTAATGTTATGTTGGTTAATCTCAAACCACACACTGTAGTACCCTACTGTGAAATAAAGATATTTTCAGATTAATACCCCCCGTTTTTAATCTTAAAAACTAAGTATTATTTTCATAACTAAAACAAACCAATACTTTATAGTTTTTCATTTCTATGTCTATCATTTAGTAAATGAACACACTAAGTAAAAGCAACAGAATGAAACTTTTAGATACCTGGACCTTTTAACTGCTTCTTTGAAAGAGCACATGAAATCTGCTTTCCATATTGATCTAAGTGCCATCCCTCCCATGCACAAGGGGGAATTTGTGCGGGGTGTGAGTCAACAGATTTTACTCACTTGCACTGAAGCATTTGGTTTTGATTAGACTCCAACTTAAATATTTACTTTGTATTTACAAAATAACAAGACATGAAACTATACTCTGGAAATTAAAATGCATGTTCTTGAACAGAGAGGGGGAGGATTATAACACATGATTGGGAGTACAATCACTGGGTTTAAAAATACAGAGAAATTTGGTTGCATTAAAACCCCATATACTAGGGGTTGCCTGGGTCAGTCGGTTAAACGTCTGACTTTTGATTTTGGCTCAGGTCATGATCTCAGAGTCTTGAAACCAAGCCCCACATCAGGCTTTGGCTGGGAGTGGAGGCTGCTGGGGATTCTCTCTCTGTCCCTGTCCCTCTCCCTCTGCCCCACGCCCCCTCCCCAAACTTGCATGCATGCTCTCTCTTAAAAAACAAAAACAAAAACAAAACCCATATCTTAGAACCTAATTATGGGGAAAATCACTGTCAAAGCTTTTTCCAGTAAATGCACAGTAGGTTCCTAATCTAGTTCTGTTATTATAGAAGGCAAATTGAACATTTTTTTTTTTGCAGAGGATTCAGTGAAGATACAGGATCATACTAAGAGAGGATAATGTAATATGTGCATCTTAATGACAATACATAAACAACATAGCAACCTTAGTGGCAAAAAGAAGAGTCACTAAACGTTTTATGCTAAAATCCCTTATTCTCATGAGACATGTCTACGTAGGCAAATTTGAGTAGAAAACAAAAAGAATGATCTTGGTGACTTGAGGAAATCATTACTTTGGCCTGCCCTATCTAGACACTTGAGGCAAATGGATCTCCTAACCTCACAAAATTATCAAGATAATCTTCTCAGTTCTCCACTTCATCTCCCCACTTCCCTGAGAGGCACCATATACACATGAATGACAATGGATCACAACTTGTCCTTTACAGTGATTGATATTCTATAGAGAGCCTGGTGGCCATGGTTCCCATGGGCCCTTTGGTCCACTTAACACAGTTTAATACCCGTGTGTGGATGGGTCATGGTTGGATTATGTGTAAACCACGTCAGGATTTTCTCTGTTTTTCTTTACTAGTGTTTCATAGTTCACAAAATCATGAACTGCTTTGGTATCAGATACCTTGCTTCTGCATAAACAACTTTTCAGTTGGATTCTACCAACTGAAGAGAGACACTATGGAGAGAGAGAGACACTATGAAGGAAGAGAAAACTGTTTTACGACCATTGGAAAATTGGAAAGCTTGTGCTGATTATCATCTGTGTTGTTCAGGGTTATTTTCTTGAAACCTTGTCTTCTGATATTTTGTCTTGACATAACCTTACCCAGTGTTGCTCTACTATTTAATGAAATGGAAGATAATCACTCTTGAATATTGTAAAATGGGCTTTGTGATGATTTTGTAAACTTAAAATTTGTAAGAATTATAAGATGTTCAGGAAGCTCTCATGACTTCAATTACGAGTTTTAGAGAATCATATCTGTAAAATTATTTTTAAAAAACCTAGACAATAAAATTCAACTTGGACAAGGTGTTAGCTTATATAATTACCTTAAAACACAAAACTTAAAACCTCAGTGTTTGGAAAAAATAGCTCTTTCACACTGAATAGTCTCACAATGCTTCATAATTTTCTCATAAAAAATAAATCTCAGAAATATTGGCCTTTTCCACATTCCTAGCCTTTGAATTTTGTTTCCAATCATGAGGATGAAGAAAATAAATGAAGATGCTGTAAGTCAGGAATCTGTAGAAGTTCCTCTCTCCAGCAAAACTTGTTTTGCAAGTGAAATTTAACATTCCAGAACTGTTTAGGGAGATATGGAACAAAGTTGTTTTTATATGTCAAGGGGGTCAATTTTTAAAAAACAGTAGTAAGGAGGCAATATAATTGAAGAGAATAGTGAAGTTGTATTAAATACTGATGTAAAAATATATTCAAACTAATGGAGAATTTCCTATTGTTAAACTAATTGTACCAAGTGCAGTTTGTACCAAGTTCTTCTCCATGAACAAATTAATGAGCCCCAACTCTTTCTCCAGTGAAATACACGCTTGAGTAAAACTTACAGATGAAGATAAATCCCTTGAGATCTCAATTATCTTTTATTATATTCTAAATCTAGGACATTAATTTCAGGATATGTAGAAATTTAAATAAGATGGTATTCTTTTTCATCCTAAAGCAAGTAGTGAGTTTGATTGCCCCCTCCTCCCCACAAAATACCACAACTTACCACATAGTTCTTCTGTGTCAAGATTGCTGAAAAGAAAAGAAAGAAAATTGTTACTTTGTAATATTTAAGTTTTAATATACTTAAATACAGCCATTCCCCCAATCTATATAACTATATTAATAGATGATATGTAGCTATGGTATTTCTCTTATAAATTCTACATTGCTTAAATAATCAACAATGATTACATCAGGGAGCCTGGGTGGCTTAGTGGGTTAAAGCCTCTGCCTTCAGCTCAGGTCATGATCCCAGGGTCCTGGGTCACTGGGCTCTCTGCTCAATGGGGAGCCTGCTTCTTCCTCTCTCTCTGCCTGCCTCTCTGCCTACTTGTGATCTCTGTCAAATAAATAAATAAAATATTTTAAAAAACAAACAATGATTACATCAGATTCTACCTTTGAGCAAATAATTTCTGGGGTTTGTGTCTTCCCCAGTATCATGCTGGGGAATACTGCCTAATGGTGAAGAACAGAGACTCTGGAGCCAGAATGCCTGAGTTCAAACCTTGACTCTACCATTTACCACCCATGTGACCATGACTTCTTTACATCCTAGGGCTCAGTTCCTCAACAACAAGAGGGGATGGTAGGTTCTGTTTCATAGGAATGCAATAGGATATAAATGGGTTAATACATATAAAGCATTTAAAAGAGTAACTGGCACAAAACAAGCACTTAATACATGTTAGCTATCTGGATTCCTGACTGGTTAGAACTGCTAGAACTTCCATATCTAAACTCAACCTATGTGGTAAATTTGACTCCATGCCGTTTGGAATGATTTCTGACACATAACAAAGAGTCACGTGTCTTTCTGCATTATATTTACATGTAAATTATATTTCCATGTAAACAATAGTTACCTCTTAGTCTTATGAAGATAAATATAGCATAGCAGATGAAATATTAGCAGATATAATTCATTCCTATTAGAATAATGTCTGGACCATGGCAGGCACGGTATAGGAATTCAAGAATGGTCCAAAATTGACAATAAATCAATCTAAGATACATGGTAACTTAGAGGAGAAAATTCCTACTTAACACCAGATGGGAATTTAATAAAATTCAAATATTCACTCCTAATTATAAAAAGTTTAAATGAAATTGGAATAAAAGTCTCTGAAAGATGATAAAGACTTACTAAAGTCAACTGCAAACATCCATTAACTGAAAATCTCGGACTTTAATTCAGCTGCCACTGGTGAAAGCCCAGTGTAAATGAAGGTCATAATCCAGTCCTCCTCTATGTGGCAGGCAGGGCTGCTGGGCTGGAGGGTTACTCGTGGGATCATTCCAAACCCTGGCTCTTTTAACCAGTTCCATCCCTAGTTGTACTAATTTTAAATTAAGGATTTTATCCTCAGACACTGAATATTTGATCTTGTCTAAAGGATATCTCCTCACTTAAGCAGGTCTTTTTGTAAAGTAGCATTTGCCACCAGGCAGAAAACGTAAAGCCCTCTACAGCAGTTTCAGTGTGGGTTTCTGTTCAATCATTCATTCATTTTTCCCCACAGGCATTCATCGTTATGTGCCGGGCACTGTTCTAACCACCACAGATCAAAGAGGTTGCAACAGATACTGAGAGGAGTATGTCTGATCACTCGTCTCTAGCAGCTGAATTTAGAGGCAGACTTCTACAGGAAATAATTAGAATGTGATAAAATAGTTACTATGGGAGAAGTGGCTCATTGCAAGATTATCAGGGGCTATAGAGGATGAAATGTTGAGGCTAAATCTCAAGGGTTGAGTAGGAGTAGAAAAGGCAGACAAAGGAAGAACATTCCAATTAGCAGAAACACTATTTGCAATAAAAATTATGAACACGAGTAGTTCCTTCAGGTGGAACATAGATCATCAATGAAGAAATGGAACAAAACAATGAAAAGCCTCATGTGATCATCTAAAAAGTTTCTATGTTCTCTTATCAACTTGGAGTCACAGAGGATGTTAAAAGCAAATGACATCATCTGATTTATACTTTAGGAAGGTCACTAACAGATGGGTTGAGGTTAGACCAAAAGAGGATGAAAAGAGGCTTAGAGAGCAGTTTTGACATTATTTGTATAGTCTGGGCCAGTTGATCCCAGATTGAAGTATACAACCCAAAGGGTATGCAAGGCCATCCAATGGGGGCAAGAAGAAGTACCTGCACATCAGACACACACACACCTTTAAAACTTTACTTTGAAAAAATTCCAACCTACAAAAAAAAGGGGCCCTTCACCTAACCATTCCCCCAGTTATCACATTCCCCCCTCAGTTATCATATTCTTTCACTGTATATGTTTCTTCAACTCATTTGATTGTACATTGCAGATAGTGATATTCTTTACCCCTAAATGCTTCCGGGTGTAGTTTCTACAAATAAATATGTTCTCTTATGTTCAAGTGAAGGGATTAATATTGATTCAATGCCATTATTAAATCCAGCAGTTCTTAAATATCTGTCTTTATATTTAAGCTTACACTTTTTTGCATGTAATTTTACAGTGTATAAGTATTAATACAGTGGTGCCTACATAGGATATGATTTTCAAGTCTTTATATATCAAAATTTCAAGCCAAAAAAGCATTGCCTAAAATGGGAGCTTGATCAGAAGTGTAGGACGGATAGGCAGTGATAGGGAGAGGAGCAAAAAGAATACACAGAAGGGAAGGGTTTTAAGGTAAAACCATCAAAGCTTGGAATCTTATTGGATTCAGAATTAGACCACTTAGACATTTTTAGTATCATGTCAAGCATTTTGGTCATTAATACTTATATGTCATTTCCTAACTCCAGTGTTTCCATAGAACTTCAGACTTGGAAAAAGGACATTAAGGGTCACTCTGTTTTTGTATTTTCCTCAGAATGGTTCACAGGTTCATAATGAGATTTTTTTTTTAATTCCAAGGAATAAACAGTCAATCCATCATGGAAACTGAATTACATGGAATATATCATAAAACTACTGAATTACAGGGAATATATCATAAAACATAGTTCAGAGTAATTTGCATGGCATTAGTTCTACGTGTTCCTCAATAAAATGCTATGTTCTTAAAGCACTTTAAGTGATCCCCTCAAACATTCCTTTATTTAGCGGTTTCCGTGCTGTGTTGTTTGTTCTTTTAATAGTAGACTTACATGGGTGAATTCCATAGGACTGATTTCTTTCGAGATAGCTCCACCCTGTAGTAACACAGGGTTGTAAAGGAATATTAAGCCATAGATAAGCCTACAGTATATCTGAGAGTGTGTGATATTGTTCTGCTTCTTTTCATGTTTATAGTAAGAAAACCTATAATCTTTCAGCTATGCCATTTAAAAAAAAAATGGAAAGAATAAATGCTAGTCACATTGTAAACATCTTTACTAAAACAGAAGCAGAGGGGTGTTACTACCAGAATGCATTCTCAGCTAGAAGCCAAGGAGGGGTAAAGAACAAAGACATTCACTGCTGCCTGACTGACAGTTGTGAGGGGGGGGAAAATGGAAACTAAGTGTTCCTTAGCTGAATAACTAAGCAAATTGCATATCATTATATAATCATTAAAATGTATCTAAAGATTTGTCAATTGCTTGAAAAAGGCTTGTTTAAAAGGTTAAAATGTGGGTGCGTGGGTGGCTCAGTGGGTTAAGCTGCTGCCTTCAGCTCAGGTCATGATCTCAGGGTCCTAGGATCGAGTCCTGCATCAGGCTCTCTGCTCAGCAGGGAGACTGCTTCTCTCTTTCTCTCTCTGCCTGCCTCTCTGTCTACTTGTGATCTCTCTCTGTAAAATAAATAAATAAAATCTTAAAAAAAAAAGAAAAGGTTAAAATGTGAAACCAGATATAAATAGTATATATAGAATCAAAAAAATGCACATGTTAAGAACTTGGCAAAAAATTAAGTAACAATACCAGTAACAGGTCACACTGCTTCTGGAGGCTGGGACTTTGGGTGGGTTTGCTTTTGCCTTCTTTATAGTTTTCCAAATCTTTGGTTTCTCTTATTACAAGGTTTCATTTATAATGGGAAAAGCAAACTCTGATTATAAATAGAAAATTGGGAAAAGATGAAGCATAAAAGGTAAGGTTCACATGATTTAACTTATAAATCTATTTGGTATAAATTACAATATATCTGTCAGTTTGGACCTGACTCTCAACTTTACAAGAAAACACCATTCAGACACTCTAAGTGTAACAGACACAACATATACTGAACACCATTCATTTACAAGTCTCAGGGGCCGCTGAAGTTGTTTTGACTGGATTCTTCTATTGTTGGGCACTGTATGTTCTGAAGAACTAAACTGCTCTCCTGAGAAGTATGTTTACTGTCAAGAAAATAGATTTGGGAGTGCAGACTGATTTCTACTTCGGAATTCAGAATCTTTCTAATATAACCTTTTATATGCCAGCCCTCAATTCCAGAGTCCACCTCTAAACAATTTTACCTTCATGTGAACATTCTTAGTTATCTCTGAAGTATTTTTCAAAGGATTTAGCTGCATTTGCTGTATAAATAAGAGCAAAGGATTAGGACGTTCACACTGAAAAACCACCATTCTCAACCCCTTTGCTTCTGATTATATTTGAGATTTTTAGTTTCTTCTTCAAAATTAATACACTGTGGATCTAAGCAGAAACCTTTACAGTCTAAGTCCTACTTCATATTTTAATGTCTTCTAGTTCATCACCAGTTAGTCTGAATATTACCAGTGCAAATAGGTTTTTTTCTTCAGTTGGCAAAACAGATTGCAACACACCACAAGCTCCCTAATAACCTGAAGGAGTTAATTTTGGCTTACAAAGATGTTTACTTCTAGACAGTATCTGAGGCAAGGAGAATGTGACTCAGTGAGCAACACGCTTAGTTACTCCCTGATGGGAACCCTGTAGCAATGCCCACATTGGTTTATTGGCAGACTAGCAGGCTAGTTAAGAAACAAATATGCTCAGCCACTGTAGTGTTCATTTTAAAAAAGATTATTATGATCTTCCAATTCACTAAGAATCATTTGAGCAGAAGGTCTTTCCATCATCGTCAGAGCAA